ACCTCACGAGGGCTGCCTGGGGGAGCAACTTTCCAACATAATTGTGGGGGATCTGCTATTTCTTTGGGCTTTTCACCCGTTTTCCAGTCACTGGTTGATGTTTTTCCTCTCCTTTTTGCCCGTTTCAAGTTTCCACTCCGACACCAAATGCTTTCCCCTTTTCCTACCGCTGTTAACACGAGGCAGATCAAACAAACACAAAAGTGTTTTCTCAAAAAATAATCATTAAGCAGATCATGGAGTTTAGTTCCAGTGACAGCTGAATATTTGTTTCATTAATAAGTCATTTGCAATTAATTCCTGGAGTCATTTCTAAAAGAACATTGTGATGTTTCCATGGTTTTAAAGTGGCAAGGCACGAGTCATTCTTTGACAAAATTTCTGTACAAAGTGCTCATAGGCATCCACTGGAAAAATCCAACCTCCAAGGAGGAGTGTCCCTGTGAGGTGGGAATGTGGCTCCCAGTAGTGGGGAGGCACCTCCACACAATATGCAAATAACTGCAGCATTTAGGGGTTGAATTTTAGGTGTATTGGTGCTCGTGCTGCTCCACTCAAATTATTTGTATGGGAATTATTATATTAAGGGGTTTTTTTCCCATTTAAGGCTCATAAACAACTCTCCTCTGTGCTGGAAAAATAAAATAAATCTCCAATACAAACGGTTCAATTTACCTCTTTTCAGTCAAAAGCTGGATAAATAAGTGATTGCTATCCTGCCATATAAAAGCAAAGATGCTCCAGCTCAGAAAGGTTCCTGAGGCTCTAAAAATCACACCAGGAATGAGGGGCCATCCCTCCACTGGCTGAGCATCTTTCCCTGGAGATCCAAGGGGCTCCATCCTCAAGCCTACCAAGGTCACCTTCTGCTTGGGATGGAACAGGCACCATCTGCACTGGTGTTTCATTAAGAGTTAAATAACAATTTACCACCTTTCACAATGTTCTTTCTAACCTTAAAACCGGCACAATTTGGGTATAAATAACACAGGAAAGTGTCTCTAATCCCGGGCACCACTTCCACTCGAAGTCCCAAGTCCTGATACATGGCCAGCAAAGATTAAGGACATTTCTAAGCTATAGAAACAATTACAATTGTTGCCATATCACCTTCTCAATAACCTTCTCCCAAAATTACAGGTTAGAGAGTTGTCTGTGATCATTAAGTGCCTGGAGGAGAAGCACATCACCAAAGCAACAAACCTCTAATCAAGGGAGTGGGAGCAGAGCAGAAGAGCAAAATAACTCTTTAAAAAGCAAGTTGCAAGAGGGTTGCTTTTTTTTCTAAAAATCAAAATCTTATTTGGCACATATAGTTACCACCCCACAGCAGCAAAATTAAAACGCTGGAAAAAGTGAACACCATAAATTTCTGCCTACTTGGGAATGTAATTTGCTGGAATTACACTTTTAGAGGGAAGTGCTTACAGGTTTTCATATTCAGCAGCAAGAGGAGTAATTATATTAATGAACTGACACAGCTCTGAAGTGAAACAATAGAGAGCTGGTAAAAAAAAAAATCAAATGTTTAGTTTTCAATTTAAAATTAAGACAAAATATTTTTAAAAACTTAAAAATGCCCAATTTCCAGCTATTCTAATAGAGATTAATAGATAGCTAAATTGAGGTCTGGAAAGCAAAGTTCTAGACCTGCTTATGAAAATCTTTACGTGGAAAGGTTTTCAATTTTTCAGAAAAATCAGGTCGAAAATAATCTCTTAAATATTACAGCAATACCATACCTTATGAGCTAAAAAATAATAAAGTTGGGTAGGAGAACCTATAAATTATCTGGTAAGAAAAAAATAGAAATAATCAGCTATTTTGCACCTTCCTTCAAAACACTGTGAGTTACACAACTATTTCCACGAGAAGGTGGGACTTTGCCTTGAAAGCAATTTGCAACCTATTGGTTTGATCCAGTTTCCACTGAAGTGAAAAGATTACCATTAAATTCAGTGAAAGCTGGATTAGACTCTGTTCAGATTCACAGTGGGAAAAAAAACCCTAATGATTATTTATGCCAGAAATTCCAGTGTAAAAAGCAAAATCGGCACAAATGTGTTGAAGAATTTGAAGAGAAAAATGAGCACAGTTGATATAAAATATGACTCCACTAAAAATTAGAGGATTACTAATTGCTCTGAATACGTTTATAGAGAAGCTATAGATGTAATTTAATGGCACAAATATACTTTGAAATCCAATTATAGCAACAGAGCAGTGATTATAGAGTTGCATGAAGAGTTAAAATAAAATATGATACCAGATAAATGGGTATATTAGAAAGGCACTATTAGATTTTCTTGCATTTATCCACTGAGTGCCACCAGGCCTCTGAGCCAGGAACAAATAGGAGGAAAAAATAGCAGAGAAAGATTGAGTTTTCTTGCTAAATATAGTCAAAAACAACTGAGATATTTCTACTAAAAAAGATATAAATTTAGAGATACCAGTTACCAATACGTGATTTATACAAGAGATCAAAATAGTGAGTCTTATTCACAGTCCTGCTGTTCCAGATTCTCAACTTTTGTAAGCACTAAACCAGAAAAGAAGGAAAACTTGAAAAGGATTTACTGCAGAAAGTTGAAAGATCTCGGAGAAAACACAATATACCAATAAAAGGCCAATTATTGCAACCATCAATATCCAGCAGTGGGCTATCAGGGAAAAGATATGCAGATTCCATTAGGAAAAAATACGGCCATGTCTGTCCTCTGGCATAACAACATCACTTATAAATGGCAAGAGGGACCCTCACTTTATTTGTAGGTTTAAATAATAATTTGATACTTTACCCATTATGTCAAGAAATCAAGATTTAGAGGAAACAAATAAATGTCCCTTTCTGATTTAAACCTAAAATAAGTCACTTCTTGCTCTGCTTTCTCTTGTCCTTGAAATTCACATTGACTTAAAGTATATATATTTATAGTACATACCAGGTTTGCCAACTTTTGAAACCCAAGAAAAATATTCACCAATTGCCAGAAACTTGTTTAAATCTCTTCCATCCTTACCTGTTTTTGACATTCAAACTTAAACCAGGCCCAACTTGCAAGAGGTTTTGGTGAGAATTCCTCTCTGGTGAATTGGGAAAACCTTCTTTGGGAGGTTCCCCATTAATAAACACCTGCATTTAGCCCTATTTAGCAGTTTGTCCCTATTTTCCAATCACAGGGAGAGGGTTGGTAAAGGTTTCAATTTGTAAGGTCACACAGATTGCTCCCCAGGTACGAGCTGGATTATTAGCATAATAAAAAAGTGGGGGGGAAGAATGAAAATAACCCCTAAAAATCGTCTTTTATTCTGCTTTTGCTGCAGTACTACAAAGACAAACAGAAACATTCATATGCTCAGCTCTGCCTTGGCCAAGCAAATCTCATAAATGTCTGAATTTCCCATTATGGCCATGATTTCTAGAGGGAGATGAAATCTTTACCTCTCTCTAAATTGATGGGAGTCTCCCTCCTCCCTTCAGATGCCAGAATATGGAAGTAGAAGACTCTCCCTCTGAAGGCTGTATTTTATAATACTCTGATGAGATGCCTTTTGATTTAGGGTTGGCATGAAGGGAGAAAAAAACCCCGTTGTAGTCTGCCAGCTCATCTAACCCAACTTTAATCACTGGCTGTGGAGACAGCTCTATCTGAGCCAGTCATCTAAAATCCCTTTAAAGTCAATGGGGAGAAATAGATGTTTTTAGGATGCAATTAATTGATTGGAAGGAAGAGGGATCTATCACATATGGAAAAGAATTATGGCCCAGAGGGTTCTGCTTTTCCTCATTTACTTCAGAGGAGTTCACACATCTGCATTTTCACAGTCATCCAGTACAGGTGAGAAGAATGTCCCCCAATCACTATCAACAAATCTCTCTTGTTTTGTTTTTTTTTCATCTGTTTTACTGTTTCTTTTCCCCTCTGTTCCTACTCTGAGTCTCTCCCGGGACATCAGTTCAATTTTTGCATTACAAGCCCATTAACCCCCTCAAGGAAATGGGTTCATCCATCTGATGGAAATGAAAACTTTTGGATCTTACATGAGTGCTCACCTGGGCCAGAAGAGCAGATCCATCAGGTTTAAAAAACACATTAATGGATAGTTTAGTGCCAATTGCCACTGAAATATTCAGAATAGGACAGATAACAAAACACTTCCTACAGTTGTACCTCTCTCCCAAGGACCTCTGGGCCCTTCAGCTCCCAGGGCTCTACATCATGTCCCAAATGTACCAGAAAATTATGATTACACACAGTCTGAGGAGCTGGGGTGATTATTTTCATGGAAACAAAGAAAAATATTCCCCCTCAAGAAGACATGGCATATCTGTCCCCTTGAACACGCAGCAAACGTAAGGGGGAGGAAAACTGATAACTGCAGATTTGCCTTCATCAGTGAGATCCAAAGAAGTCGAGTTGAAACAAGTTTGGCCAGACCTGAACATCGCAGAGCCCCCCAAAAACCCCTTTCTTTTCCCAAGGCACGGCCCTGTGCAATTTTGTTCTGCTCTCACAAGCGGGTGAACCTATTTCCTCTCACCCACCAAAGAGCCACCATTGTGCTGGAGGACTTTGAGGAATCTGCTGCTCACTCTGACATAAGGGAGTAGGTTTTGTTTCATGTTTGCCTTGTGCTGGGACATTCATCTTCAAAGGGCCCCGCTCGCAACCGGGGAGCCTTAGAAGCAGATCAGGGGCAATTCAAAGAGCTGTGCACGGAGCAGGAGGGGGCTCCTGTTCAAAGCTGCAGCCTCGAATCTGCCACAGAAGAGCAGATTCAAACCCAAAGAGGTCACTTCACCTGCCTGTAGTGGGATCTCGTATTCAGAAGACTCCAGCTAAAAAATAAGGGGTATTTAGGCAGCGTGACAAGTGAAACCCTCGAGCGATGCTCTTCCTCTCTCTCCCTCACACGCAGACATGGACAGAGCAATGGCTCCTTTAGAAAAAAAAACCCAAAACTGTAGGAGACATAATGGCCTCCAGAAAACTTACTCACAGATCAGCTCCATCTGTAGCATCCTCCTGGTCTGAGCACAAAAGTTCCCAACGAGCTGGAGCACCGCAGACCTCTGTTCAAACTGCCTGGAACAGGGAAACTGCAATCAGCAGTTGCTCAACACATGAGAGAGTGGCAAAAACACTGATTTCTTTCAATTACCCAGGTTAATGCAATCTAGAGGAAATATTCTGTTTGGCTCAGAAATTACCTGTTCTCTCTGGTCAGACCTGGGAGCCCTTGGACAACAAAAGGATTCTGCTTGGATGGGCACTGTCTAAACACAGAGTAATACAGAGTTGCTTTCCCCAGAATTCAGCCTTTGCACAGGAAATACAGGAAAGTAGAGATGAAAATACTGTTCTCTTCAATTTATACTTGGAGAACTGAGACAAGGGGAGATGCAGGTTCATGTACAAGCAGATCTACAAATGTTTAATATCTTTGATGAGGTAAAGAAAATCAGAAAAGGATTTTTAAGAGAAGCAGAAGCATAATAATCTTGCAGATTATCTGCAGTGCCTTTGTATCAGGCACCTGACGTTTTTAAAAACAATTCAGATTAAATTTTTGTCACACCTGATTTTTTGAGGGATGTATCAGCTCTGCATCTGCAAGGGAGTCTCATTTTGCTACTGGGAGAGGGCAGTTGCATCTCTGGGATTTGATCCCTTTTCCCTGGGTTAGCAGAGGTTCTCCCTCCTCCCACTGCCATCACACACCTGATGTGGCCACTTCCCTCCTCCTTCAAACGTCCACTGCCACAGATACAAATCTCTGGACACAGTTTCTACCTCCTGTATCAATTCTTCAGTCTCAACTGTCTTCAAGGACACTTTTTCTTTTTTTTTTTGAATACTAGATTAAAATGCACATGATCCTGCATTGCTTTGTCACACTCCCCTTATTTATATTATATTTTTATTAAAAGCTTTAAAGCCTTGGGGCCAGTCTGTGTCTGAATGGTACTTCACAGATATGGTTGCATTACTCCCCATATCATTATTATTTTGATTTTTATTAGAAGTACCTGGGTTTGTTTTTCTTTTAGCCTCAATTTAAACATCCCCTCCATTGCCATGCTCATTTTGCTGCAGTGCTGACTGAGGTGTTTCAGGTTCGTGGTGCTCCCTCCAAGTTTGATTTATAACAGCAGGCCAAGATGGATGAAACTTTATATCTGATTCCACTTCTTATGTGACATTTGTGGTTTTTTCACATTTTCCTACTTAGCAAATATATTATTCCTTTAAAGCACCTGATCAAATATACTGGAATGGGGGAGACAATGCTAAAATTTAATTTAATTGTAAAATTAAGCTCATGCTGCATAAACACAGGTACAGCCTCCTTTGGACAAGGCATCTCCCAGGAAAAGCCAAGCATTTTGAGACCCTTCCATACAAGACAGCTGGAACACACACTGTGCTGTACAACCTGCTCTCAGATGGTTTCAAACCCTGTTTTTGCACAGTGTTTCCTTTTGTCCATATTTTATTCTCCCTTGTGCTGCCCTGGCAGTGACCTCACCTGGAGCAAGAGGCTGCAAGGCCCCGTAGCTCTTCACAGAAAGAGCAATTGGTTTGTTCCCCAAATGTTTCCCAGGTTGTAAAACAGCATAAAAGTACAAATGAGGAGCCTTATGATATTTTTCTTCCTGCTGTGTGCAATCAAGCCAGAAAGTATCCCTGACTCCCACAGAACCTGCAAATTACCTCGGCATACCTGACCCACCAGCAGCAACACAGCATTAGGACTATTTTCCCCCACTGATTCTTCTCCTGCTGAGCTCCTCCACGGGTCTGGGATGCTCCCTGCTTGCACACTGCCTGGTTTGAAACAAAAATCCAAAACGTGAGTGAAATACTAAACCTTTGCCAGCAAAATATGGGAATTATTTCCAAAGAACTTCACGTCACTTTACATAGTGCACAATTGACCCCATATATCTGCAACTTCAGTCTGAAACTGAAGTAGATTCAACACAGCCAAGAAATAATCACAGAGAGCATTTTGGATTCAGCCAAGGATGAAGTAAGGCACTCTATTTTCAACAAAGCAAGCTGAGGCCACTGTTCACTACGTTCAACCACATCAATTATACAGAGTTTTACTGGAAAAAGGATTAAAAAGTACAAAGGTAAAACAAACAGCGCTGCTGCAGTGTCCAGTAGGATGAAACAACTCCCTTAGACAGTAGGTATGATTACAGAAATGCTAAAAGAAGAAGGGAAGGAGGAATGGAAGGAAGGATTTCATGGACCTTGAGCAGACTCACTGCGACAGTGACATAAAGCCGGGGCACTGCAGCACACACAGTTTGGAATTCAGCCCCCACATCCCTCGTGTCACTGCCAGCACTCACGTCTGAACTCCCTATTTCTGTATTTCCTCTTTGCCTCTAGCCAGGGATTTCCATTATTTCATCAATGTAAAGTTTTAGATAATGTTGTGTTTCCTGAAGTCTCTTCCAGCTGTGTGTCTCCCGCCCCAGATCATCGCAAACTATTTACTTCACTTCTATCCACACTTTCATTTCCAGGATCTGCTCCATCGAGCTCCATGTTCCTTAAAACTTTGATATTGAGTTCTTCATATGCCTAATTTGGGCTTAATTCCAGGCTGGGGTAAATCGTTACAACTCGGATGGAGTCAATAGGAGCGCAGTGACTTACATCAGCTTTGTGTCAGTAAATACTGACAAGATTGATCTCAAACTTTTTCAGAACAAAAGATTTTCGAAGATGGATTAAACAACATAAATGCTGAGCTGTTTTGCTAGACTGCAAATGGCATAACACAAGCTTTGTGTGACATCTCTGAATTATCCCTTCGTGGTAATGTTGACATTACATGGTATTGACTCATGGAAGAAGCTTAAATACCCTTTTAAGTTTTCAAGACTCTTTGACAAAGCACTATTTCATTAACAAAATGTTAGTGGAATCCAGGAAGCTTGACTCTACAGTACAGCCTGCTGCTTTCAAGAAGCTCTGACCGAGGGATGTGACTGCACAGAGCAATGTAATTCTTATTTTTAGGACAACAGAAAAGGAAGCAGGGCACTCATTGGTTGAGGGAGGAGGACCCAAGGGTACTTCCACAGTGCTCCACTGAAGGGCTACCACACCTTCTGCTGGAGAAGGTCAAAATAGCACAAATTAGAAAATACATCACACAGGATAAACTGGGAGAGACAGCAGTGTTGGTGTTTGCTTGGAGATAAGGCTTCTTGCTCATGAAAAGGAGAAAGACATGGAAAGCATTCCAGAGGGAATACCTGATCTGGGATCAGGTTTGGGAAAGGGTAATTATGTACCTACAGCTAAAATGATTGGTTGTAAGTACCCTGCTAATCAAAGAATCATAGGATCATCTAGGTTAGAAAAGACTTCTAAGATCATTTAGTCCAACTGTTAATGACACAAATGGCTCTTAGATAAGTACAGGGTTTATAATTGATGGGTTTACTGCTAGCAACAGTAAACCCCTTGGCTTTCAGGTTCTTGATCTGACCCAGAGAAGGGACTTGATGGAGAGAAAGAGGCAGCACAAGTGGCCCAGGTGTCCCATGTCACCATCAGGATGATGGGGGGAAACCCCTCTGTAGGGAGTCAGTAACACACAAGAGATGGGTTTGCACCTCAGAACCTTTCCCCTGTGCAGAGCAGAGAGCAGGTTCCCCTCCCTCCTCTGGAGAGCAATAGATTGTTTGTGAACAACCACCCACAAATCTTTTCCCCAGTAACTCACAAATATTTACAACACTCCCTGCTCAGGACTGTGACATGGCCCCAGCACCTTTCCAACACTGAACTCCGGAGACACCACTTGTAAGTCAAATGAAAGGTGACAGACCTTCTCAAGAGGGAAGTTTTATCACACCTTGAATAGTTAAATTTTCAAACTTAAGTTTTTCTGCTGATCTCTAGATCTGCAGCTGCTTTATGTAATAAGGAAAGTCGTTATTAACCAAAGAGATTGGAAGGGATGGGCAGGGAAGTACTAAAACCTCTGTCCATTTGCCTGCTTTCTGCCTTTGACAGCATTTTGTGTGCCAACAGCTTCCACATTTCCTCCTCTGTAGATCATTTCATCTGTTCTGTGGACTCACGTAAAGCAACAAGTGGAAGAAAATAATGTAAAAAAAAAGGACTGAAAAACTCAGCACTTAAAAGCAACACTTGACTGAGGTGCTCAAGGGCCACTTTGCTACCTGAAACCACTCCTTTAATTTTTTTGGTTATTTACATTTTGAATTGATGAAATCCACAGCAGCAAAGATAACTTTGCCTGACTGCCCAGTAGAAGCCATGATGAGAAGCTGTCTGGAAGGGGGGAAGGTCTCCGAGATACATTTTTATTCATCCATGAAATATAAATAAATAAACAAGAGAGCCACATACACAAATAAGAGACTCAATCAAACATGGCAGAGCTGTGAAACACATCTGCAGTCAGGCACTGGAGACTGGATTAAAGGGTGGAGTGACCAGGTGTTAATGAGCCAGGAGTGAGGGAGCCCCATGGCACTGCCCTCCACGCCTGCCATCACCTCCAGCACTGATGGGATCGAGACCAAGGATGAAGAAGGGAGATGGAGATCCTCTGACATGTCTGAATGATGGACAAAAGGCTTGTTCCCTGGCTGAAAACAGGCATTTTTGGTGCAATAGCAAAACTTCACACACATCTACCCAACTCCTACATAACCAAAAAGTGATGCTGATGTCACTACTGCAACCAGGTTAATGCTCTTCTTAACAGCCCTTTGCCCTCTTGGGTTTGTTTGCTTTAATTCCCTGTGCCTTGAGAGGTGAACAACAGCCACGGTTTTAATTGCAGGCTGATCCCCCAAAGAGAAGACAAACACCCCTGTAGAAGGGATGAAAGATTTTGTGCCAGCAGATGATTCATCTTTCCAAATACCTGGCTGCTCTCAAAAGGAGAGGAGGAAAACTGCACTGCCTCAAGGGTCTTGGCTGCCAAGGAGCTGCCAAGGAGCTGCAAATCCTCTGCTCAGGGGATTTGCTCCAGCACAAGGCAATCCCACCTCTCTGTTTCCCACTGAAACACAAGAGGAAAGTGCCTGGAGCACACACTTGACAGGCAAACCAGGCCCTTGTCTGTCCTCCAGAATCCTTCCACTGAGAGAGTGTCCTCAAAAACTTGGCGTAACTAAGCTGAAAATCAAAGACTGAGGCTCTTCAAGCCTAACCAAATGAAGTCCTGAAGGTTTTCTGGGGTACTAATGGCCATCCCAGAGCTCAACCTCCACACAGGATGAGTGCAACCTATGAGTAGAGGATCTCAGGTGAGATTTCAGGGTTCCATCTTCCTAAGGGTATGGAAATTCAGTAACCTAATAAAAGAGAAAGGGAGAACACATGGATCATTCCTCAATAATCCATTCCTGAATAATACTGTAGGTTTCAGTATAAAACAATCTGAAGGACTTACAGAAAAATCCAAATTCAAGGGAAATCTGGGAAGAAAGACATTTTGATCTTGACTGCAAAGTGTGGCCCTCACTCAAGGACACTGAACTTTGTGGTCTCCCTGGGGTCACGAATTTTCCACATGAATTAACAGACACCCATTGAGCTGCAGGAGCAAGCAGGATTTTTCTCCTGGCTGAAGATCTGCCCCTCGACATCCACATCCCACTGCCGGGAAAGCATCTCCCACCCTCCAGATAGCGCTGGTCAGAGCCCTCTGTGAATAACCACTTTATAATGTGAGACACTTACTGTGCACTGGGTCACTGGTAGCAGGGTTGAGAAAGGGACATTCACATCTAAAATCACAAATCTCCATAGTCAACGCTGGAAAAATGAGCTCTGTCTCAAAGGCTCTTACAGACCCAGGAGGAGGAACACGCTCAAAGAACAGATTGCTGCAGTTTGTTAGCAAAGGTTAGGGAAAGCTGGAAACCTTAAGGTCTTGCAAATCAATCTGTGCATTGCACAGCTTCTCCCCTTCCAAAGCTGAGACAAATGCAGATTGTGTTTGTCGTGCTTGCAGAACAACCTGCAATCAAAATCTCTCGCTCTCGCTGGAACAAGACGACAACACTCCGGAGACACAAAGACAACTGGAAGGCAGAAGTTCTGCAGAAGGAGCGTTTTGCTTCTAAAACTCCACTTCATCCCCCTCGTGATCACACAGATTTCTGTCGGTTCTTTACACTTGTACCCGTTATCTGTCTTCAGCTGCCACATTGAAGCACGATTGCTGTGATTATAAATTTAAAAAAAAAAAAACACTTAAAAAAAGGTCCAAACTAACTCAACAACATTTGCAACCGCATTTACATAAAACTCACTGGACACAACTGGCACTGCACAGTAGGATTTTTCTTTCCCACTCCTAGGAAGGAGTTGAGTTGAGCCAAGCTTAGCTGAGCTGAGCCGTCGCCCACCCTCCTTCCTGCCCTTGAAGTGCCTCTCCCCCGCTGTTCCTCAAGGAGGACATTCCTTACTCCAAAAGAAAAACACCTGTGTAGTACCAGACACTGCTGATTTTCTTCAGGTGAGAAGGTATTTACTGTCTCTGGGGGACAATTCTAGGAATCAGCCCTTTTTTTCATCTCTGGATGGGTCTTTAAATCAAAGATTAAAGAACCGAGAAAAGATACACAAAAACTGATAATCCCAACCCAGAGACCCTCCAATCATAAATACTTGTCATTCTTAGCATAATATGCAACCTTCAATACACTGTTGTGTTTCAGGCACATTTAGGTACCCTACAGAAATGACTTTAGGCTGCTATTATTCCTAAAGAACTTCAGATGAGTTTGGATCCATCATCATTCATCATGTCAGCCCCTCTACGGATAGTTACCCACACTTTGTCTGCTCGGGTTTATCTAATAGCTAGCCCTGGGTTTTATTAATTTCCACTGGTTTGCAGAAAATACAGAGTTCCTACTCTTTTTTATAACTTGTGTCTTAACTCATATCCATTTTCCATGAAAACCAAGCAGTGCTTCAAAGGCACATTATCTCTTCTGGGGCTCCTACTCCCTTAAGAAGGGATCCCAAATCTTGCCTTGTTGTGGTTTGGATTTCTCTGATGTTTGTTTGCTGGGATTTTTCTGATGCTGCTGATAAATACATTCCCAAGGGCAAACAACCCATTTTTATGGGGGGTCTTTCTCTTCTTGAATGTTCAGCAGCCTGAGTTGACTTAAAACCTTTTACTCTTCAAACCATTTTACATCTATGGGATTAGTGAGCATTCCTATGTAAGCAGAGACAGAGGAAATCTGAATTTCCCTTGTCATGATTCCCTTGGCCAGAGAAGCTGTGGCTGCCCCATTCCTGGAAGTGTTCAAAGCCAGGCTGGATGGGGCTTGGAGCAACCTGGGATAGTGGAAGGTGTCCCTGCCCATGGCAGGGGATGCAATGGGATGGTCTTTCAGGTCCCTTCCAACCCAAACCATTCTATTCTGATTTTATGATGACAGAGGAAATAAATTCCCTTGTGTACTCTTGATATATACATGAAGGTATACACAATATCTACTTATCCAGCAGGCAGAATTCACATTTTAAATATACATTTATGTGTTAAATCACTGTGATTTTAGTTTTTGTACTTTCAGTGAAAACCCCCACAGATCATTGTCAAAGCCACAATTGTTAATTTAACAGTTCTTCTGCAAAGAAAGAAAAGGAAAAGCAGAACATACACTTAGTGTATATATATATATATATATACACACATAATATTGTATATGTTTCCTCTAGAATGTTACTATATTGTATTTTATAGAGGACTCCTCTCCTCGATGATTTTTTGCTCTGTAAAAGCTGTGTAAGAGGCACAGTGGAGATGAGAGCAAGCCCTGGTGCAGGGCAGAAAGGCTCCCCTGGCACCCAGAGCCCTGGCCATGAGGCACAGCCACAATCCTGAGGCCACACAAGCCCCATGTGACATCCACAGTCCCACGAGCCAATGGTTCCAAGAAACAGCAGCACCTGCTCAGGATTTGGACACCACTGGGATGTCTGGGGACCTGTGACTCCCAAAACCCTCCCTGACCCATGGACACCCCTTGTCCCACCTTGGGTATCCCTGGAGCTGGAGCTCCTCTCCCCCCTGGCAGCTTCATGGGTACGGAGAGTCCCGGAGGGGGTTCCCATCTTCAAACTTTTCCCTTTGGAGCACTTCAGCCACCTGTTCAGCACAGCAAAATATCCAACCCATTTAATGAGGCTTCTGGTAAAATCCTTCCTTTGAAGTCCCTCAGACCGTGACAGCAATTAACTCCAGCCCCATCTTCACTGCTGTTGTTTTACCTCATATCACTCGAGATCAACAACATCACTGATGGTGCAAATTATTTCCCTGCATAAGCAGTGAGGGAATGTCTCACATCCAGCACTCACTGTCAGCTGGCAAAGTGACCTGACTGCAATTACAGCCACGACGTTGGGGTGTCTTCAGTGTCCCTGGGCTCCTCCAGGATTTTTAGTAATTTTTGTAGATTTAAGACTGCGAGGAAATTCATTGCATTTAAGGCTGGCAGCATTTAGAGAGGAACCCACTGTAGGTATGGGGGAGGTGGGTAAGGATGGCATCACAGCAGAACAAAGCACACAGATGGGGTCAGGAACTGTGGCTCCTCTTAACAAAACTGTCCCCAAGCTCATCCCATTCAGTATCACATGTACACGTGGATATTCAGAAACTTTTCCCCGAATGTACACAACGGGGATTATTTTCATTGCAAATGGTTTGTAACAATGCACATTAAAAAGCCAATATGATATCGAGTGGACTATAAATAATATCAGTTTAAAAGGCAAAAGGATCTAACTGAAATATTAATTTCTCCACATTAGAAATGAGAGAAATAAGAAATGAGGAAGATCACAAATGATAGGCACACAACCAAAGGTAGCTATTTAAAATTGCCCTTGGAAGAAACTTTTTCAAGGTTTTCTGTTTTATTTCTGTTTCTGGGTTGGGTTTTTTTTCTTTTTTTTTTTTTTATTATTTGCTTTGGGTTTTGTTTTTAAAGCGAGCAAGAATAAGGATAAAAGGAAACTAATTCCCCACTAAAGGGCCTCCTGCAGCCGGAGCGGGATGACCTGCTGGCTCCATAACCTCTGCCAGGGGAGGGGTGTCAGCACACACAGCCCCTCCAACCAGCTCCAGACAACAATGGCAACACAGGGAAAACAAAACAGGATCCCAATCCTTCCCCTGCTCTGTCTGAGGACACCACCATCACCTTAATCCGTTGGCCAAGGTTGCGTTTCCCAAGCCCTGAGGGCAGAACACACCACTCCACAGCCACAACCCAGAATTCCTGCTCTGTGAGAAATTCCAATGTTTTCCCCAGTTCAGAAGGCTAAAGATTCTTAAAAGATCTGAAATATACTTGAAAAGATTTCGGTGAAACTGAATTTGTGCAAACGTTTTATGAAAATGTTGTGTTTTAATAATACGCTGTTGGCAGGCTGAAAATGGTAAAAAAAATACAAGACAAAGCATATGGGAAACACGAAAAGGATTAATTAATTAATCAATTAAAATGAACCCTGAAAAAATTAAACCATTTCAGCATCACCAAAATGAAACACTTCAACCTTATACCAACAGAGGTGAAAGTCAGATGATGTGTCAGAACATGTTTTCTCTCAAAAATTATTATAATCAATAAAATTCCAGTTCCAAATTTCATTTTTGTTCTGACTGGATTTTGGATTCCGAGCTGCTTGCACATGTTTTGACCCCCCTATACCCAAGAAAATTGCTGCCATCCCGACCTCTTCTGCAAGGGTGGTGCAGGCAAATGGAAGAACATCACTGATTCTTATGTAAGAAAAGCCTAAAACCTGTGTTTTCTATAAAATTGGTGGGTTTGGCTTATTTCTCAGCAAAAAAAATGCCTTAAGGAGAGGTAAAGCAAAGCTATTGTTACCAAGACTTTCTTACTGTAAGAACCCATCCTACAGTGCATTTCCTGGTACGCTCTGAAATACCATAAATCATTCTGACAACGTGATACTTGTCAAAATAAAGGCAGAAAATACATCTTGGAATAAAACATCCTCAATCATATTTATTTGTTTGCTCACTCGTGCCATTTGGCTTTCTCTCAGTGGGTTTCCCAATCGTTAGGGTGAATTAGTGAGATTCTGCTGGAAAAACAGCCCCATGTGCATATTCACAGGCTCACACACATGGAATATCTGCCCGTGGCACTGAACACTCGGGCAGGAGAACTGAAAATAATAAAGCTTGCAAAGGACACTTCAGTTTTCCTGCTATTTTTTTTTCCCCCTTTTCCAGCTTTTTTTTTTTTTTCCCCATCCCCCTCACCAAATATTTCACTAATGCTCGATGGTGGCTTGGTTTAAGGGAGTCCTGCCTGGAAAGCTCCTTCAGCTGCTCAGCCCAACAGCATAAATTTGATCTCGTAATTAGTATTCAGCTCAGCATCTTGGATAGAAACCAATGTTACAGCCAAGAGGTGGTTTAAATCACATAAATCATAGATCAATGACAGAACTCTAAGCACTGGATAGATTACAAAAGTAAGCTTTAGTTAAAAATAGATTAACCATTTCCCTGCAGGAATTCCTTCAAAAAAAGCCCTGAATATAAAACAAATAAAATTAAATCTGATAATTTTTTTTCCTAATGCATGCATATACCAGATGAATTGTTCTTTCCCTTGACAGTTACACACTGATTAAAGAAATGTGTTAACATGCTATTTCAATGGAAAATATTGTAAATTGTGGGGACTTTAATTTTTTTAATGAGCCTCTAATAGCCAAAAAGCAATGTTGTGTACAGATAGGTTTATAGCACATCATAGCAGCTAGCAGATACTTCTGCAGTTGCTGTTTTTATAAAAAAAGGGCAAAAATCATTCCCGAAACCAAGAAAAATGTTTTTGAGAAGTGTTTTTAAAGTATTTTGTGTTTTAAATTTTATCTAATTAAGCTCCCAGTCATAAGGAGCATCACGAGCCATCAGTTATCCTGATTTAAGCACCCGTGGGGGTAATCAGCATCTTGAAGGATTGAGCCCCGAGATCCCCAAATTGTTAAAAGTTCAGGGGAGGAGGAAATATGGGGCTGAATCTCTTCCTCCTGACGTAGGGATGAAGGAGGGTTTGGCTCCTGCAAGGAAATTCTCTGTTGCTGTAGACCAGTTACACCAAATTGGGGTGCAGCAGAGGACACAGAGTGTGTCAGCCTGGAATCTGCTCTGCAACCTAAGAATCTAAATTAAAAATATAAATTTAAAGTATGTGCTTGCTCCAGTACAATGTACTGTGACAGCCTCCCATGAGGTCACCCATAATTCAAAAGAAGAAAAAAAGGAAGAAAAAACCTAAAAAACCCCAACTTTTCAGCATCTGAAGGACAACTCGCATGTCTGTTTTCTGAGCTGCAGAATTGAAAGCCAGAAATGCCTGAGCAGCACCTCAGCCTCTCCTCAGGTCAGGGAAGTGCAGATTCCAAGCCACTGTAGCTGCAATAACGGGCTTGGATTCCCCCCGGGTCCACACAGGGACTGAGGCAGCTCCAGCCACAGCAAAGAGAGGAGAAGCAGCCTGAGCATCAGGCACAAATCCTGCCACCTCATCCACCCTTTTACAACCTTCAAATCCACCTTCAAATTAGTGAGTAAATAATCAAAGTGAGAGAAATCCCATATTGCCTATCCCTGGACCAACAAATTATGATCAAATGCAGAACTGAAAATACAGTGATTCACCCCAATAAAAAGTTACACAATTCTTGAACTGGTAAATAACTGTTACAGCCACAATACAATGAATTCAAACTTCCTGAGCACCGACATCTGCTTGTATATTTAACTTTCTACAGATGACAAAAACATGAGTATAATTGTTGTTGCTATACCTAGAATTTTAAAAAGTAAGTAATACTGTTCCTAGAGATGTTTCCATTTGTTTTCAAACACTCCAGCTCCATCAAAAAGAACATCTTTAAACTTTTAGTGCTTAATGGAAATGACTACTTTCGATTTCCAAGGATTTTTTTTTCCCATCACAAGAAATAAAACAGCGAGCTGCTCCATGGCTATTTGAGGAACAATATTGAGATTTCCAAAGTGCCTCCCTGTGTGATAGAAGACTGCAATATATGCAATCAAGAGATAAATTCAAACAATAATAACTAGCAGAGGCTCCAGGCATTGCAGAACGTGTCATTTACTTCAGACCCATTCCTTGAAACATCAGTCCTGCGAGTAGTTCAGTGGAAAATAGATGGGACTGCTCCTGGAAGTACAGGCTGTTCGTACAGGGAAGTTTTCAAAGGCTCTGCATTTTCTAAAGTGCTGAAAAATGCATATCAAGTTTAGTAAAACTAAAGAAGAAAAAAAAAAAAGAAGGAAGGGGAAAAAAGGATCTCTTGTAAAACACCGAATTGTCAGAGAGATGTCAGGGTTAATTTTTAAAGGCATATTTCCCTCCAGCAACAATTCTCTTTAATTATTTCAATGTGAAACACATTATCAGACATGTTCCTTCCCTGTTCTCAGCTCCCTGACACAAGATAGGTACAAGATGTTAAATCTCTGCCGATGCTCACACACGTTGGCTGGGCAGCTCCTGCTGCACCTACAGCCTCCAGCTTCCTCTACCAAACTTTTGGGGCCATCTGCCCCTAGTCACAGCACCAAAACAGGGCAGGAGATGGTCGAGGGAGAGCCCCAGGATTTCAGAGGGTGGCCCTCAACACCTATAGGGGTACCAAGAGCTGAACGGAGCAGTCACACCAATTTAAAAGTTATAACCATAACACACATGACAACCTTCCAACATGTTTGAGTGGGAATTCATCCAGATTTGGTTGGGTTTTTTTTTTTACTTAGAGGTCTAACAGCCATGTAGAATAGATTGTACAGAACAGGCAAAGTCCAGTGAGGAAGCTCCTGGAGTGTCACAGCACAAGGAGCTGCTGCAGGACACGGTCACGTCAGGCACTTCTTCAGGAATTTAAGAGATACACTTTATGTTCCTCCCAAGTGGTAAAGGACAGTGCCCAGAGACCCACAGTAAAATATCAGCTCAAAATTACAAGTGACAGCAGTTTCACATTTAGATCTGGAGAACAAACCTTGATCTAATGCATCAGTTCGGTGTCACAAAGCACCAAGTTTGGTCAAGAGTTTCAGCTGCTGAAGGAGGTTTGTGTTTTCCCACATAATTTCCAACTGGACACATACGTATTCAGGAGTCACATCAATCTATTCAACCCTTGTTTTGGTGCAAGGAAAGTCTAATCCTTTTCTGGGGCAGGAAGAGGCTTCAGACCAGCTCTACCAGATCAGCTGTACCCTAATGGACTTTTTTATATCACCCCCAGTAAAACTCACCATACAGCCAGTCGTGAGATTAAAAGCTTTTTAAGTTGCTATCTTGGGAAATTTCTTTCAAGGAAATTACTACAAAGCCTTGTTTTAGTGTGTTCCCCTACTGTGAGTCCTACTGTGTTTTTTTAATAAGGAAAACTATCCATCCATGGAGGTGTATCCTGTTCTCCATGCTTGAGTGTCTAACAGCAGGCACATACAGTAGACACTCTGATGTTTTGCCTCTTTAATTTTCACTCCATAATGTTGGTGCCTGGTTTTCCTGACTGCACCTTTCAGAGCAGTTTAATTATGGGCGTGCACAGAATTTCGAGAGGGGATTTTCAGTGATAATATTCAGATGTTAGGGACAAGTTTAATACATAAAGATATTCAGAATTCTTTCTTTTAACCATAAAATAAAACCCTGCTATGCATTTATCACAGGATGGAAAGTGAGATAATATTACCAAGAGAAAAAAAAATACAAATACTTCAAGGCTAAAACAGAAAGGGGTATAGAGATGCTTCCTTTAGTCTTTAAAGGATGTTTCACATAGATACAGAGATGCTTCATGCAGATATAGAGATGCTTCATATAGATATAGAGATGCTTCATATAGATATGGAGATGTTTCATACAGATATAAACATGCTTCATTTTGGTCTTTAAGAAGACAACCTTATGCTAAATATGAAAGTATGGCAGATCTATCACTGCTTTCAAGCAAATAGGACACAGCCAGAGGTTTCCATCCACACTCAAGCTCCCACCCAAATGAAAACAGCTCATGCCACTGAATTTATTAGCCCAAGGATTTTACCACAGATTTTGATACATATTTTTAAATCAAGCCAAGCAGCTCCCTGATAAAAGATTACTGTACCACTCAGATATCAGGTTTGAAATGTGGGGTTTTTTTCCAATAACAGGCCAGGTAGTGGGTTATAAACGAGCCCTGCTCCATTGACTGCAGACAGGGTATGAAAATTGATTCAATGGAGCACCATCAGCCCTCGCCAGCTGAGTATCTGTCCCTCTAATCACAACTAAAAAGATTTTCCTAGTCAATTAAAGGCTCCAAGCCTTTACTCACTCGCACAAAATCCCTGCTAACAATGCATTCATTTAAATCTTAACAAACTGAGCACAAGCCCTGCCTGGTGCCACAGTTGGTGCTGGAGATTGAAATCCCCGCTCCCGCCATCCGGAGGCACCAGCCCTTCCACACTGTCTCACGTGGCCCAGGATAATCCCTGAGTCCCCTCCGATCCTGACACGCTTCTGGAGGATCTGACAAAAAAATTAGCACATTCATTATTTTTCGCTAACAGGAGCACGAGCCCCACGAAGAAAACGTGTACCTGTGCTGACAGAGTGGGAGTGCTTTAATTTCCAAATTACATACGTAAATAAATCAAACCGTAGCACCTGATAAGTGAAAGATTATGAAAATAGTAATATCCTGCAAAATCTTGAAAGGCATCATAATTCCTCCAACAATTATCTTCTGTCATATTTGCGAGTAGCCCATGTAGTTCAAGAAGAGAAAATACAAATGTGCTCCTTTAAAATTCATGAAACCACTCATTCTGTCATAAAAGCAGGCATCTTTCATGGCTACTTATTTCACACAGTCTCATAACTAATACTGACAGATACTTGGAATGCAAAAAAAAAAAAGAAAAAAAAAGGAGCACCGGACAAAGAACACGAGCTGCTCAATTCTTACACTTTAATGCTTAGAATGGAAAATAAAATCATATATTATATAGCACTGCCGAATTTCTGCTGTAATTAAATCAAAATTTGTAGATAAAAATGAGATTGTACAAAGACTGGTGGTATAGTGCTCCCAGGATTGGGCTGTGCTGCATCCATGACAACAGGATGGAAGGTTGCTTTTAATACTATTATCTTACATACCCACAGCTGAATGCTAATGCAGCTATACTGAGGAAATCAAGTTTCAGATCTGTAGCCACTGAACTTACAGCCACTAGGCAGGGAGTTTAAAAGCCAGGCTAGCACACAAAGACTAATATTATAGCTCTGTCAACTCCCCAAAGGTCAGCTATCTCAAAAGGCATACACAAATATTAATTGTCAGGTAGTTCTGTACCAGAGACCAGAACTGAGGCAGAAATCAGGTTTTGTGGCCATAATTTTCTTCCAATTTTATTTATAAAATGGAGGTGAGGAAGGAAGCAGAGATTAACTCAGTTCATGTTCTGTGCACTGACAGAGGGTGACGCGGTTCCTTATGGGCAGTGTGTCAGAAAGGGTTTTACCTCTTTTCCTCAATGAAGGAGACAGAAAATGTGTGGGAAAGCAGCTGGGAAGCCCTGTTTTCCAGTGGATACCAACAGTCCAATCGACCCAATCCTTTGGGTTGTGGACTCCCCATCCCTGGAAGTGTCCAAGGCCAGGTTGGACGGGGCTTGGAGGAACCTGGGATAGTGGAAGGTGTCTCTGCCTGTGGCAGGGGGTGGGACTGGATGGGCTTTAATGTCCCTTCCAACCCAAACCAGTCTGGGATTCCATGATTCTGTCCTGACTGGGGGACAGACAGATCCCTCAGTCCCAGCCTGTCCTGTGCCCACACAAGGATTCTCTGTTCTCCCACAGGCAGCTTCATATCTGCCCAAGCTCCTTCTACAGACATCATCTCCAACTTCCCAATCCATCTTCTTCTGGATTTAATAATATTTTGTTATAAAATCACAAAAAAAATCTATATTAACTATATACATATATTTTGCTACAAAATCACAAGGACATAAAAAATACGAATCTAGTTGGGGGCAACTAGATAAGTGTTTCCCAAATTACAGAATTCTGAGCTGCCCTGTGAAGTCAATGCATCCTTCCTCCTTGGGGCCAACAAAATCCAAAGGGTTCAGCAAGTCCCCAGGATGAAGAAGCCTCTCAAGCCTTGTTTCACCAGAAGTGATATCGTGTGACTGGCAACTCTGACCCAACTTCCCAAAGGGGAAAACAGCCTCACCAACACTTTTAGGCTCTTCTTAGCGCTCAGGGAATTTTCAGACCTCTTGCACTATTTTTATTCTCCAACCCTCTACACTTCAAGGTGGAGAACTCCAAACTGTTTGAGCTGCTGACCACTCTCCTGTAATAGCCTGTAACCTGTAGTTACCCACATCCAACTTATTTATAAACCATTGGCTCATGTGCTGTCATACCCTGAATAATTCATTTTTAGGAGCAGTACAAGGAAATTCTGGCCCTGTGGTGCTCTGGCTCTATCTCACATAGTCAAGTGTGTGGACATTTTGGCACATTTGCACCCTGGGGGTTTTTTCTGATTGCATTCTTACTGTACATGAAATAAAGACAGCAAAATAAATAATATAGAAATAAATCTAATAAAATATAGATAATAAAGTAAACTGAACCAACTCAACTAAAATAATGAGAAGAAGCACTTGTGATGAAGGTTTCTCAAGCCCATCAGGACTTGCAGATCAAGCCATCTCTCATGGAAATGAGGATTCACTACAAACCACTGCAGAAATGCAGTTCCCAGGGTCTTTTCCCACCTGTGTAAAGAAGCCTTTCTCCACAAAAACATGACTTCAGTAGGGCAGCAAAGAGATGCTTCATTAGGAAAAAATAAAAGGGGGCAACAACAATCACAGTGATGAAAACTTTGGCCTCTAAGTGGCAGAATGTCAAAAAAAGTTGTAGCATTTTATGATATTGTAATTGAAAAAAGTATTATGTTGTTAGTGGAAGTGTATTTAAGAAAAGCCTCACACGTGGATATAATAGAAAATTAATCCTCAGAGCTCAGAAAGTCCCTGAGGATGCAGAATCCATCATGAAGTTACCTCCTGTCCCAGATTTTCCTGTTGCTTGCCTCTGCTGACAAGAGTTGTCTTTTCATTCGAGTATTTGATATCAATTTACTCAGGCACCAGGGGCAGAAAAGGATTTCACTTTCTTCATCTGAAAGACACTGATCCACAGAATTAGTACTTTGAACAGGTGCCAGAGTAAAATAGTGACACATTCTCTAAACCAAGAACCACAGGTGGGCACAGCAGATTGCCCAAAGCCTCTCAGGGCTGCCCAGGAGGCAACCCTCCCGAACTTCTGATGGTTCTGGGATGGACAGCATTCCTGATTGCAAAGGTGTCTCCTTCCATCTCTTGCTGTGGATCATGTTTCTAAACCAACCCCACAAAGGAATGTCCCTGTTGTCAATGCCCTCCTCCAGATAATCAGAATGATGGGTAAGTTGGAAGGGACCACTGGTGGGATCATCTGGTCCAACCTCCCTGCTCAAGCAAGGTCTTCCTAGAGCTCATGGCACAGGATTGTGTCCAGTTGGTTCTGGAATGCCCATCCTTCAGCAGTAGAGGGGGCAGGGAGTGGCTGCTCTCAGTGCATTTGCAGGTTAAAATCCCTCAGAAGAGGTTTGCCTCCATTTTGGCACGTATTAAGCATTAAATTAACTTTAGATGATACAACAAATAACCTCAGGAAGGGTGTCTACCTCCCCTCATCTGACAACAGGCTTGCTGCCTTTTCCTCCTCACTGCTTGCAGTGTTGCAAGAACCAGTGCAAGAACCAGGAGAAGGGATGGCCCAGCTGGAAGAAGGTTATCAAGGAGCTTATTCCCAACTGATTGGGCATCTGGTGAAACCTGTGCTTCACCCCAGAGACAGTGGGAAGCTTTGCCCACTTCATGTTTTCAAAGCCTTTGGCTCCTTTCTTTTTCAAACCTTGCTCATACCGAGGATTTATCGCAGAAACCCTTAGAAAAAAAACGAACTGCCCTGAAATGACTTGTTCTGCCCCAGCATGGGATGTGATTTGGGTGCTCAGGTGAGAGCCCAGTGGCCCTGTGGGAGCCCTGGCAGGGGAACAGCCGTGTCTGAGGTGTGGAGCCGTGCTCCTCGCTGTGCTTTCTGCTCACCCAGCGCTGGGCTCAAGCAAGGAGCTGACTCTGCAAACAAAGCCCAACTCTGGACCTGCAGCAAGCAGAGCTTGTGTGTGGTTACAGCCAGAAGCAACCTAAACTGGATATCTAAAATTAGACAGCGGGAATTTTCTCCTAAGCATCACTGCATCCTGGTGGAAGAGCGGAAAATGGAGGTGGAAACCCGAGAGCAGCAGAAACAAACCCTCTGTTTGTCAGCAGGACACTTGTGCCACAGGCACAGGAGCCTCTGTACTCAGCACATCCCTGACCTGCCCTGATCCCGCACACACAGCAAAGGTCTGCCAGGGTTTGGACTCAACAAGGCTCCTAATAAGGTATAAAAACATGTTATTTTTTTCAGAAGGCTCAGGGATCAAACTGAGACAAGCAATTTATTCCAGCAGAAACCAAGACATCACCTCAGAACGCTCACAAAGAAGGTTTCTCTCCAAAAACAGAGAGCGAAAGGAAACGCAAAAGCATCAGTTTCTCCACCATGTTTTATCATATTCCTTTGATGCTCAAATGAGGTTCCTCACCCTGAACCCCTCCTTTTAGGGCAGGTGTGCTGATAATTAGGCAGAAGATGTGAAAATCAGCCTCAAAATTGTGAGTCAGTGAGCAGAGCTTCCCCTCAGCTCAGCTACTTCACTGCCTTCAGCTCAGCTTCAGCAGAGACCCCACTTGCTGCCCTCAGACCCCACTTTCTGCCCACAGGGAAACTCTACATACTCATATTTTATCCCACAGTCATTTTCCAACATGGAAAACTCCCAAAATCATGAATCCACCCACATTCCCACGAGAACCTCTTGTCCCCACAGGAATCCCTGATGTGGGATGAGCTCCACGGGCAGGAGAGGGAGGGATGATCCCAGTTGTCCTCCCACCCCTTGGGCACAGGATGCTCCCTGGGGTGATCCAAGGGTGCAGGGCTGAATCCACTCCCAGCCCCCATTATTTTGACCACCAGCCCAGGCAGGAAAAACGTACAATTCAATGTGCTCAGACACCACACTTGGGAGATTTCATTTCAGTCTCAATTTCTTCCACTGAACATTAGATTTGGTAGTTTTCCCAGTCAACTCTGCTTTTTTGGAAAAAAACCAAACCAAAACAAAACACTAAAGAAATTCAGCCACTTTTTAAAAGAAACCTTGAAAGAAAATTATGAGTTCTGTTTTGGAACCTGGTCCAAATGGCTGGAATAAAAATGCTCAAACCAACTTAATATTTCCTGTACTTGAAAAATTTGGGTATTCAGTCTATATAATAGACTGAATATATAATAGACTGAATATTTTTATTGGATGTTTTAAAAATAGAGATATGATTTGGCTGTTATCCTTTAGTATTTATTTCAGCAAAATTCTGAGGTCATGTTGTTTGTGAAAAAAAAAATCTAGAATGGTTTGGTTTGGAAAGGACATTAAAGCTCATCCAGTTTCAACTCCCCTGCCATGGGTAGGGACACCTTCTACCAAACCAGGTGGAAAAATCATATTCTCTAAGTCCAATAGTTTTCCAGTTGTCAGGAAGTAACTGCCTTCACCTCAGGTATTCACTTTTCATTTTAAATGGCCTCTCTCACATTTTGCTCTTCTTTTTCTTAACCAGATATTCCTGTGTTGCCAAAGACACACCAAAAATTATTTGGGTTTCTATTAGTAGGGCAGAAGTTTTACAAGATGGGGGAGTTACAGGTGAGAGGAGCTGTTGCTTAGGTTGATGCTGAGCACTGTGAAAATGCCCCCCATAAACACAACGTTGGCATTGTTATAGATCATAAAATCACAGCTGAACCCTGTAAACAGGAAAATCCTGGAGTTACTCATCCGGCTGTGTCTGCAGAGCCAGTCACTTGTTGCTGGGAGGTTCTGCACTCCCAGCAGTGGATCCCAGCCTTCCCCACCGTGCTTCTCTTCCCTTCCCTGGAGGAGAACTCAGCCCAACCTCCACCCAATAACTTCGCTTTCTCATTTTTGACCAATTTCTACCAATAATTCCCTGACAGGCTTTTCCTCAGCAGTGCTTGCAGGGTGGACTGGGCTTTCCCTCCTCCTCCTCCTCCTCCCTGGCAAACAACCCATCTGGCATCCACGTGGCAGCGTTTGCTGTGTGGGATCTGCTGGAAAAGTGCCACATTTCCAGTAGCAATCGCTGGCCACACCAGCACAACACCCATGGAAATGACTTCCAGACTATTTATCTTTTTCCCCCGAGGTGTGGAGCATCTCATGTGTATAAAAATGCACTTTTTTTTTTTTTTTTGACTGCAGCTCACGATGGTGAGACTCAAGCAGGGGGCTGCAGAGACAACTTTTCTTTAAGCCACACATTCCTCTCTGAAGGCTCAAGGTCTTGCCTAAACTCAGCTCTAACTGCATCATTCAAGGAGCTCAAGGCTGGTCTAAAGAGCAGGGAGAACAGAGTTGCCACACCAAGTTACCTCAGTTAAGAGCTTTTTGGGTTTAACCCTCACCCTTCAGGATCCTCTGCTTTATGGGCGGAAGGGAACTATGAAAACAGACTTGGAAAAAAAAATGCATTGCTCACATTTTTTAAAAGTTGCCTTAGGCTGTTATAAGTTACATAAAGTTGCTCCTGTTCCTGTTGTAGTTATGGCAAAGTTATCTGAGGTGAATGGCACAAAGTGACAACTCCAAACTTGGAAAAGTTCCCGACCAGGGCCTTTTCACATAAAGAAAATCAGAATATAACCAACAGTCTGCAACTTAAGACACAACTCCAAAATTTCATTGGAATAACGAAGATTATTCTAATATTTTTTTCAAAAAATATACAAATCATCTATACTTAAAAACAGAATAATAACTTATAGATTAACAGAGTGTGAAACAAACTGTTCTTGTTTCCAGTAGTTGCAATCATGGACTTCATTTAACCTGACACTTGAGTAATAATGGGAATATTTAGCTTTTCTGAGTATTTATTCCCTAAACTCATGACTTCTAGAAATCCTTCAAAATCCATCACTTCAGAAAGAGAAGTTAAAAGGAGAGATATTCTGGGGAAAATTACTCCTTTTTCTTAACATTCTTCTTCCCCCCACACACACATTCCCAATTTCCCACACACATTTTTAAGGCACTGCAAAGCAAGTTTTCGGGAGCTAAAACTACAAGAGAAATTGAAAAGAAAGGATATTTTAAAACAATCGAGACAAAAATAAAAGCCATCCCTAACTAAACACAATGGCAAAAAGTTGGACATCTTTCGTGTCTTTTATGAGCCAGAGAGAGAGGAATGATTAAAAATGTACCCAAAGCTCTGAATGCCATTTTACTGTCATTTCCTTTGATTAACCTTCACCTGACCTCAATCCCTGAGGCAATTCCAGCTTCTTTTTGTTCTTCCGTTTAAATTCTTCGCTGCACCAGGTGAGTACATCCCTCACAGCAGAGCAGGTTGGTTTTGGGGAGGATTTCACAGAAAATGCTGATTTTTCTAGAGAATTGTTTGCAAAAACCTTAACAAGGATGATAACAGGTCACATTTTCTCCAAATCTGGGATTTTTTACAATCCCTGTAAATTCATATCATTATTTTTTTTCTATTTTTTCAGGACCTTGGTCCCGTTGGCTGGTACAGAACTACCAACCCCAGCAGTTCTCACCATCATCTCTCTGCATCTGGAATATCTGCTTCCAAGTGATTTATAAATGTAACATGCCCACTGGAATGGGAGGGGGAAAAAGCCAGCACGAATTAAAACTTAAAAAATAGATTATAAACTCTTGGTAGAAGGAATAGATCCATCCTTCAATATTTGCACAAAAATACTCAAGTGCAGTTCTTTCTTATTTTAAAACTCACTATTTTTCAACAAGTCTCATGATCTTGGGGGTTGAGTAGAAATCATGGAATGCTGCATATATAGACTTTGTTCTTCAAACTTTACTGGGATAATTTAAAAAAGGACAAACTGGGATAGGACAAAAAACGGACTTGATGATCTTAAAGGCCTTTTTCAACCTAAATGTTTCTATGATTCTAACTAGAAAAATCATAGGAGATCTGTTAATTGTGCCTGATGATGAAATGATGAGGAATTCTGACCTATTTACTTCGTCAGCGACTGATTTAAGGGATGAGTCCATCCTCATCCAGAGGAACTGATGTGATGCTGAGGCTTCTGATGGCACATTTTTAATCTGTCAGCAAAAGGTGTGAGGTTGAACAGTGAAATTAGGACTAGAACCCAGGGGCAGAGTTTCAGCCCTCAGGAACCACCATGAGCCACTGCACCAGCTCACGTTGGGGTGAAGAGATACTTCATCACATGTGGCCTTTGTTATCATTCCAAAGCACATTCTATTCCATAAGCAGAAGTTATGGATTCCATGTTTGCTCCTCACTGCTGTCAGCCCAATGTCTGATGATCTGTCTGATCTCAGTTCTGCATTATTCACCCTAAATGAATTTTCAGGATTAGAAAAATAAATAAATAAATAAATAAAAGGTCCCAGGCATCTCAAACTGCCATCCATAAAAAGTTTAGTGAAGATCAACTATACTTTTAATAGGCATGAATCATTTTGAAAAGTTTTATTTCTGCTGGTCTCTCTAATTTCCATTTTCTTGCTATCTGTCCACAAAAAAAAGTTGAGGTTAAACACGGACCTGCTGGGTTTCAAAATGACCAAATAAATTCCCCTGGCAATTTCCAAACCCTACCGTTGTAAGGAGGTGATTTGTTAACTCTGATCCTCTCCTGGTAGGAATTTTATTCTCCTCAAACTGGTCCTTCCTGAGAACACGAAGGAGTTACAACAAAAGTCCTGCAGGTCTCAGTCATGAACTTTTCTGGTCTTAAATATTTCATAATATTCATAACACAATTAAGACTCTTAAAATTGAGCTCCTTTCAACCGTGCTTGCCCAAGCTCTGCTTCCTCTGCATTTCTAGACACATCCAGCTCTGGGTTGTCTAATCCAGGACATCCTGCCCAGTTTTCCATGCCAGCATCTCCACTGAGTTCTCCAGTGAAGTGTCCAGCTCCTGAGTGACAGATGCCCTCACCTGACAGAGCTCAGTGCTGAAAAGGGGGAACAAAAGGCTCGGAAAGCGCCTCGGGGAGGGAGGTAAGGTGGAGGTTAATCGAAGGAAATGACAGTTTGATGGTATGCACGGCCCTGGAGATTACACATGTTATTTTGTTGGGAAATATTTAACTGGTTTATCTCTATTTAGGAAGAAAAATAAAGTGGATATATGAAAAAAAATGCAGGAGAAGTCATAGATGCCTCTTAGGCCAGGCAGCCTGGCGTGGGCGGGATGCAAAGAAAGCCAAAGGATGCCAATTCTTTAGGTGGCTTCAACACAACATAAACATTTATAAAACATTTATAAAATGTTATAAAACATTTCACTATCATAAAACACAGCACAGTAGCTGGGGAGGTCAGGAAACTCAATAAACCTCTCATTTCCCTTGCTCCCATATTTACCCCCAATATTTACTAGTTATCTCCTAAAGTGGGTGCTGGGGCTAAGAAGGGAAAATTCCAGCTGGAAAATGCTGTAGAAGTCTCAGAAACTCATTTGTGTCTTGTAATGAACTTGGCTTGGCCACATTCCTGCCTCGTTTGCATTTCCTTCCCAACCATTTTCATGCTCTCAGAATTTTACTTTCAGGAGGCCTTTCAAAAACTGATTTTAAGCTTGGCTTGCGTGTGGCAAGGGCTTTTTAAAAACACTCTCCTCAAATATTTAATCATGAAATTTATTCTGGTATTTGTCCTCAATTAATTGGGGAATTAAACCAATACCACATGACTGATCAATCACAAATACATAACACACCCTGAATTCTGATTCCTACTTTCAATTAAAAAAAGAAAACAAACCAACCAGTCAATAGAAAAATTTTGACAACTGTTTTTTTTTTTTTTTGCATTCTTCCTACGGAATAAAAGGCGAAAATTCACGGAATGAATTATTAATTATGAGTTATTCATCCAGCACTACTAAAAACTAATCTGTTTCTCTTTTTTTAAGCATCAAAAAGGTCTTTCAAACAGAGGTGGCAATAATGAAATATGGCAGCAGATCTTGAGACGTGCCCTTCCCCAGGCTGTGGGGACGGAAAAGGTTATGGTCCCACAGTTATTAATCCCCCATCACACTGACAATTGATTTTGAACACAGTCTGTTGGAGTCTTTATAATGCAAGATCATAAATGTTCAAAACTAATTTATTGCTCTTTGTTCCACCTGGCAAAAATCCACTGTCAGGTTGAGTTGTGTTGACGCAAAGACACAGATGAGGATTTAAGTTGTGGTTTTATCCCTGTTTGTAAATTTGTTTGCAATACTTGTGCGGGGTTGGAAACACCCACAGAGGGTTTGGAAACATCCAGAGAGGGTTTAGAAACATTCATAAAGTAGTCAGAAATGTTCACAAAGGAGAAAAAAAAGAGGAAGAGGTTATGCTGTCATCAATCAATAGGAAATATTTGCAAGAACAGCCATATATTTTAAATTTGATGGGGAAAAGTCCTTATTTGTATTTATTGGTATTGATATTTTTGGTTTGCACCCTGTTCCCTGGTATCTCTCAGATTTTCATAAGGAAAAATGTAAAAACTTGCTTTATCCACATATTGACTCATATACCAGGCAAAGATTCCCCACACACCAACGAGGGATATGCAAAACCTTCCACCCTACAAGGCTTTTTCACTTTTTTTAATTAGTCATTTCAAAGCCTGAACCAATTTCATTTATCCTGAAAATTCCTCAACTTTTCCTTTGTTGCCCCCACTCTGCCCATGCCAGGGAGGTGCCAACCCCCAAAGAGGGACAAATCAGAAAAGGAGAGAAGGGTAAAAAGGGAGAGAAGGATCACCTTTGCACTGACATAACACACTTATTTGTAAAGATTAAGGGGTTTTAAGCATCAAATAGAATATGTTACAAGGAAGCTTATTTTAGGGATAAAATCCTGTCCCATAGACCAAGCATTGGGTAAGGGATGAATTACAAGGTTTCCAAAGCCCTGCTGAAGCAGGGAACTGAAACACAAAAAACAGAGAAGAAAAACAACAGAGCATTTCCACATCAAAAATATGCCAATCCCAAAGTCTGCTTCCCAGGCTCCAAAGGATTTTTTTCTCAGTAGAAAGACAAACTTGTAAAATTACCATTCTTTTCAAAATGACCACATAATACTTCTTTAATAGCACTTTTCACTCTTACATATTTTACAGTCCAAGAATATAAACTTTGTCCTTCCATTATCTAAAGGCAGAATCATTTAATTGTCCTGGCAAGTTTATTCCTGTTGAATTCTTATTTTTACCCACGATAATGAACTAGGAGAGCTCTGTGACTGAATGCTAGAACTGCTGCATTCATGACTTGTAGGCATCTGTACGATATTGAAATTAATTTCTAGTATAAAACAGTTAACAGAATAACCCTAGATAAAGGCAAGTATAATATTAATTTCATTCTTTTTGTTGGCAATGTTGTAAAGTCCATTGCTCAAGTAAAGAGCACTTTGCTGAGCCGGATACAAATTAATTTTACCATTCTTCTTCAAATAGGAATTTTAAAAGTCAACTAAAGGCTACAACAGCTTTGAAACATTTCAGTGATTGTTTTAATTACCTCTCATACAGCTGTGAGACACTGCAAAGGGAGGGGTGGAGAGGGAAGGGAGAACAACACCTGGCGTGTTACCAATTGTTTTTGTCACATAAAGAAGAAAAAACAGTTCCAAGCCCTCAGACCAACAAAAAGCTCAGCAAAGTCAACACAGATCGGGTTTTTTGTCAGTATATTAATGTTGTGATTTGATCCTGGACTATGTGTTCTTATTCCGTCAATAACTACTCTCCCTGTTAAACAAAACCACCAAATCTCCAAACGTTAAATAGATGAATTCTGACAGTTTTAAAGCTTGTTTATCAACCCCAAGTTGATGCACACACTGCAGTAAGTTGCTAAAGGCACACGTGGGGCTTCTTTGTAGGGTCTGTTCTACAGCAAAAAAACCAAAAACTCGCTTCACTTTTACCACAACTACGCAAAAAAAGCCTATTTTTGTCATTTCAACCCTTAATAGAATTGGAAACTGGAGGCTACTGGGACTTGTGCTGGCTTTTAACACCCTGGCTTCCAGCACCTGAGGAATCAGTGGGTGCTGGGGTGCTGAAAGCCCCCCAAAAGGTGCAGTTTTGTCCCCCCCCTGCATCTGCTGGCCACGCTGGTGGGAAGGGCCGACCCCTCACTGCACCACAGACCACCAGAATCAACAACAACAGCAGCAGAAATGAGAAAGGAAACGGGGTGTCAGGAGTCAGGGCAGCACATTTGATTTGCACATGTGTCAGTAAAGATAGAAGGAGTCGCTGAATTAAATTAAATCAAAGCAAACCTGCTAATTAAAACAGCTAAAATTATGTTTGCGAAGATGTGTGACTGGTTTCCTGCTTATCTGCAAATAAGCCTCCCCATAATATAAACATGTTTCTATCTCCACTTCATTTATAATAAGTCTTTAGGCAGATTGTAATTAGTATTTTGAGTTTCTAATGGATCCATTGTGTTACTGGAGCAATATTTTTCCTGACCATCAAAATACTGATTATTTCTGCTTCAGTCTCAAGGGTTCTCACCTGTTCTTCTCATGCTGGTCAAAGTCTTGTATCCAATTTATCTGAATCAAATTGTTTGGGTATGTGTCTGAATACCATCATCTTCACAACATATTGCTTGTAGTTAATCACATTGTATTCAACTCCACCTACGAGCCAAACCAGAAATTATTAGCAGTTTTGCTTGGATTTATCCTGTAGCTTGATTTTCATTCAACACTTAAAGAAGGATCATGACAGGGAACTAAAAAAAAATGGATTCGAACAGAAGTTTTGCGTGAAAAAATTATATTATTTACAAAAATCAACTTCTTGTTTCTGTTTTACCTATTCCCAAGTTCACAATGCATGATTTTACACAAACCCAATTACATAGCTCAGTGATTTACTGGCAAAGCTGGCCAGGAGAAAATTATCTGGCTTTAGCTAATGTGTGTGCCTATTTACAGTCAAAACAAATCCACAGAAAACTGCAAAATGGCCACAAAGAAAAAAAATAGTCAAGGCAGAAATGCACCAGAGGTTTGCAAGCTGAAAAAAAGTTCACCTTATTTTACAATTTCACTGGGTAAGCAACAAAGTGTGGCTGCGAAATCCAGCCTTTCAGATCATGCACTATTTATTTATTCCAGGATTTAACTTTAAGCACATCTGGAGTTTCATTGGCTTGGAAAACGTGGTGTTTTCTTTTTCGCCCTTTCCATCATTTTTTTAAGGATTAGTTTGCACAGTTAATGGGTGCATGGACTGGCTTCAACAGGATTACTCAGCTGTTTGGTTACCCATGGTTTGAGCAGGTTTTTTACTCACAGGGCTACAAAGGCATCAGCCCACAGTTACAAACAGGGCGTGATCAGATATTGGTATCTTGGAGATGAAAATAACACTGCAATAACACAGGGTATTATTTATGCTGACAAATCCTACTTTTTTATTGTTGTTGAAACATTTCTGACCCAACATAGAAAGCCTTGGGGGGGAGAGCATAGGATTTTTTCATTTGTATCACATGAAAAAGTCAAAAGTGAAAAGTCAAAAACATGAATCAAACCTTTAGGGTATTTAATTGCATCACAAATAATTTCAGATTATTGCATATCTTTCCCTTGGAATGACCACTTGGCACAACTCAGGGACTTTGCTAGATGCGGCCCAGAGTTCCTTTACTCACCTCCAAGCAACAGCTTCCTAAAAATACAGCAAATTGCAAATATGCTAAACCCCAAATTTCGCTGTAATTGCATGTGCCAGCACTAAGTCCTGCATCAATAAGAAACCCCACTGATGTCAGCAGGACTTGTGACAACACAAGATTTCCCTCCCTCAGTACAGCTCTAAAACTGGATCCTCGGTGACTATATTTGAATTATGTGGATTATATATGATTAAACAGATTTGGATTTAATCCCAGCACCGGGCTGTCTCGTGGAGAACACACTGTCAGGACCACACTGATGCACAGTGATCAAGGTGACCTTCCAGACTTTTGCAACCCAGAGCAGACTCTGAGTTACTCCAGTGAAGGGGGTTTCTTTTTAGCTCCACAAAGATCAGGCTGCCAGATGTCAGGAGTTAAAATGCCTCTTTCCTGAGGAACAGTTTCCGTGTCTTAAAGCCATGACTCAGGTGACAAAGAGCAATCTTTCTTGCATGAGAAAGCCAATCTCAGCTCAACACCTTGAGCTGAGATCAGGATGGAAAATATGGCTGGTTGAGCCTTGTCTTAAAGTGCAAGAAAATTCAAGTGAAGAAGATCAACACCTAAATAAAGAAATCCATCGAGTCACCACCAAATCCCAGTTCACCCTCCATTGCATCACTGCAATATCTGACCTGATTTTTTAAAACTATCACTATGAAACCTTACTTTTTATTACTATTATTAGTCTTCATTTCACTCAAAACTACAGTCTATAATCTCTTACACAAATGTGCTTTTGAGTTAACCATAAATGACAGAAACTAATTTCTTCCTCACTGGACGGCACAGCTGAGAATAGAACTTGGTGAAACAACTCTACAATAACTTCCAGCTCACCAGAGCTGAAGTTTAACTCCAAATGCTTCACACAGCTCCAGGATTCTGGAACTCTTTGATTCTTCAACAGCTTGGGAGGATCTGCCTCGTGGATGGTGATACAAGTCCTCATATTTGATAAGGGTCACATTTAGCAAAAATGGCCACAGAGGTCGTGCTGAGAGAGGAAGGAAAAAGACCTAAAGGATATAAAAGGGGAAAAAAAGCGACCCAGGTTGCCAAAGTCTGAGGGTTTGGCAGAGGAACAGAGATAACCTAATCAGCAGCACAGCTTTCCTGCAGCGAGGCTCTCCGAGCGCCGTGCAGAGCCCTGTGTCCCTCTCCTTTGGATTAAGCAGCCCAGAAGTTCCTGGATCCATAGATAACACTGAAGAGAAGAAAAAAAAAAAGGAGAAAAAGGGAAAGTAATGGGAATACTTTTCTGGATTTTACTTCAAGTTCTGCTCAAAAAGGTTTTCAGCCCGAGATACCACATAAAAATTTCCAAAGGCTTGCTGGGGGTGGGAAGCTGTTACATAATCCATTAACACAGCTAATGGCTTGTGCTGCATTCTCTCTCACATGGACACTGCAGCAAACTTTGTGCTCTGAACCTCTGGGTTTGCACCTGCCTTGAAGGACTTGGCCTGTGCAGCCAAGTTGTGGTGAAGCCACAGGTCTGGAAACTTCCTCCCCTTTAACATCCCTCCTCTAAAGGAGCCCCCACCCCATCCTCTCCTCCACCAAGGACATTTTTAGTAAGATTGCTGTGCAGCTAATTACATTACCATGGCATCCAAGTACCACACAGTCACGAGACCTACTTCTTTTAACAGCCCTTGGGTTTGTGGAGAGGAGCTAATAGGGAAACATCTTTGTATTTGGAGAGCTGAGGCACAAGGTCAATGCATTTGCCCAACATCCCTGCAGAGGAGGCTCTGGGCAGGAAATTACTCACTGTGGAGGAGCTGCCAGAGTGGACTGGCTGCCAAAGCAGCTGCATGGCCACCAACTGAACCAACCACCATGCCCTAAGAGCTGCTCTCAGGAGACAGTGCTGGGATTCCAAGAGGAAACCTTGAGCAAATAGAGCCAAATACCTTCTCACCACCTGCACTCTTCAGCCTCCAGCTACGCCACCAGCCCTCACAGCAGCACCAGAGCCAGCTGGTGGCCCCAGAGTCCTTCTTGTGGCCCCTGCTGGTTCTTCTGCAAAGGCAATGAGATGCTGGGGCAGCCTGGCCCCAGGCAGAGCTCGCCCTGCAGATGGGAGAGGTGCAGGTGCCCACTCTGAGCACCATAGACCACAGGTCTGTTGACTCTGCACAAACCCTGTGGCAAATGCCAGGAAACCTGGATTTTTATCAGGGCCACCTTCCCCAGCCCCCTTGTCCAGTCCTGGGGCTGTGCTGCCCTGTGTGTTATTCCGGTGGTGTTCCCTGACTCGGAGTTTCCTACAGACGATGGTCTGAAACGAGACACTCCCGTGTGTCCTGACTCCTGTGACCTTGTCTGGAACTTGACTTATCTGAGACAGCTCCTCTGATCCCTTTCAGCTCCTCAAGAGCAGAGCACTGACTCAAGGAGCTGTTTTCCTCACGCTATTCCTCTACCCAGAACCGAATTGCTCTTTATTTCTTATTTCTCTCACCAATTTCCCTCATCGGGTTCCATTTGCTTCCTCTAACAGACTCTCTAGTTACACCTGTGTTACTGGAAGAGTTTGGTCATAACTAACTGCAGCCTGTTGTTTATTTGCCTATTACTGCTATTGGGTCAGTTTAAACCTGTGTGTTACCTTTGGTGTCGTCACCTCTCACTGCTCTGCTGCTAAAATGTTTCTTCCTATATACTTGCACGGCATTTTCACCAGATAATTATTAAATATATATAAAAAGCAACCACAACAAAACTTGCCCAGTCCCACCTCCAATCACTTCACCAGCACAAGCTTTCTGATGGAAAGAGGCTCAACCACAGCAGTTTGACAGGCTCCTAATTTATTCAATTAACAATAAACTCACAGTGCTGAGTCCTGAACCTGTCAGCCAGCTGAACTGAGAAAACCAGCTGAATACTAAGATATATTCTGCCACTGAACTACCTCAGACCTGAGGGCTTCTAAAATGGAGAGTGGACCCCAAATAGCAGGAGGGAAGGACTTTGGCCAAAGGTGTAACCCACTGGAGAGCTCACAAAGGTGACCAAACTTGTTCAAACCTTTGCCAAAAAACCATGGATGTTGTGTTGTCGGGCTGCTCTACATTACTCAACATGCAATTCTTGCTGTGGCAGACAGATTAATTAATAGAGATAACAGAAACAGTGGTATATAATCATAAAAGAGAGCTGAAACCACAAAGGACTAAAGCTTCCCTGTGGCACAGCAGTGATTTTTTTTAAGTGTCCAGTCCCTTTTCAACAGTATTTTTAGAGGAATAGCAGTCAGCCAGATACAGCCACGGATAATCAGTGGTGGATAAAGAAAACCCTTCTCCTGACAATCAGCATCTACACTTTAAGCTGCAGAAGAAACAGCTGCCTCGCTGTTCATTAGAGAAGGGATTTGCCAAACACCCTCCCTGATGCTCTGTTATGCAAGGTAGTGCTATGTGTGTTCTCTCCTTCCACAGAGATGTAGCCTAAAAGCATCCGTATTTAGCCCTCCCATCCCCCTAAATCTTCCCCACAAAGGACACTGTCACCACCAAAGCTCTGCAACAAGGATCGTTTATATATCTGACAACCTTTAAACCCCCAAAGAAAGGGAAAGGGAAGCAGCAAAGCTCTCTGAAGAGCTCTTTGGTGGAACAAGCAGAATTATGAGCAGCAGGAGAAATATGAGTAATTAAGACAACAGTATATCTATATCTTACAGCTGACAGAGTGAAGCTGCAAGTTAGCTCTGGGCAAGATGTTAGCAGAGGAAAGAACTGAGCAGCCTGTTTCTAACGTTAGTGTTGAAAAGCCAGCCCAGGAAAAGGGCTAAAGGGACAATTTCATTAAAAAGAAGGAAGTAGGTTGGATTAAGAGAGCAGTTAGATGCCGACCTGTAACATGAAAGGAGCAGGTCAACAGCCCCCTGTAACAAGACAAGCAATCATTTGGGGAATCAGCCCGTGTGCCACTCTT